AGCTCCGCCATTTCAAGCCTGGGGACTTAGTGTTAAGAAAAATTACCATCAATACCCGAAATCTGAACGAAGGAAAACTAGGACCGAATTAGGAAGGACGATATCAGGTGCTCGAGAACATCGGAAAGGGATCGTACATGCTCGGCATTATAAACGGCAAACAACTATCAAGCAGCTGGAATGTATCACATCTAAAACGGTACTACTGCTAAGGTACGACCTTTCCATATTCGTTTATGTTTCAAAACTGACCCCTGCAGAAGTCCGAACAAGGGCTAGGATGGATCTCTCGCTTGAAAGCACGCGTTGCACTCTTTTTTCCTTAGACAGGTTTTATCCCAAATGGGTTTTTCGACAAGGTTTTTAATGAGGCAACCATTGATCGTGTAGCATTTACAACAATATTTGAGGCCTCGCAAGAGAGTTATTTCACAAAAACAGGGTTCCAATAGGAAAAATTGTAAGAGCCAAATGGTCAAAGCGAACCATGCTCATATAGATTGGCCCGAACCCAGGCATGAAATAACGTGCGAAGAAAGTTCTCTTCTTTATCGGCATCTTATATCCAAGGAAAATTCCTCTATTTTGAGATTTATTATGCAATCAGAATTAAGATAAACTCGACTACTAAGCCTACGGGCTACTTTTATTTCGAGTTCGAGCAAACACTCACTCGATCATTACGCCTACGGGCTACATTATTTCGAGTTTGAGCAAACGCTCACTCGACCATTACGCCTACAGGCTACATTACTTCGAGTTCGAATCATTCACTCGATTAAGCCTACGGGCTACTTTTATTTCGAGTTCGAGCAAATGCTCACTCGACTATTACGCCTACGGGCTACATTGCTTCGAGTTCGAATCATTCACTCGATTAAGCCTACGGGCTACTTTTATTTCGAGTTCGAGCAAATGCTCACTCGACTATTACGCCTACGGGCTACATTGCTTCGAGTTCGAATCATTCACTCGACTAAGCCTACGGGCTACTTTTATTTCGAGTTCGAGCAAGCGCTCACTTGATCATTAAGCCTACGGGCTACATTGCTTCGAGTTCGAATCATTCACTCGACTAAGCCTACGAGCTACTTTTATTTCGAGTTCGAGCAAATGCTCACTCAACCATTACGCCTACGGGCTACTTTGCTTTGAGTTCGACTACTAAGCCTATGGGCTACTTTTATTTCGAGTTCGAGCAAGAACTCACTCGACCATTATGCCTACGGGCTATATTTCTTCAAGCTCGAATCATTGACTCAACTAATAAGCCTAAGGGCTACATCGCTCCAAGTTTGAGTAAGCGCTCGCTCGATTACAGAGGCTACGAAGTCCAAATTTGATTAAGTTGTTTAAATCATTGTGAAAACATTCATAAGGCATGAATAAAGTCATCACAAGACAGAAAACAAAAACAGAAGCAAGTTGGCAAAAAAGGGGATGTATCTATATACAAATTTCTGCATGGGTGATTACAACGTAAAAACTAAAAACAAAACTTCTCGGTCAGGAGCAGTCTCTTCTTTGTCAGGCTCCCCCCGTTCTCGGATCCGCACTTGCTCCCATAATCATCATCATTGCCATCAGAAACCAGAGCTTCAGCATCGGCTTCGAGTTCTTTGGCCCTTTTTATCTCTTCAACGAGATCGAAACCACGAGCATGGATCTCCTCGAGAGTTTCCCTTCAGGATAAGCACTTAGCAAGTTCTGCGACCCAATGTGCTCGAGTATCGGCGGACTCGGCTGCCTCTCTTGCCTGGACTTGGGCAGCTTCAGCATCGGCCCGATAGACGGCCACAAGCACATCCGCATCGGCCTTTGCCTTTTCGGCATCAGATTCGGCCTTGGCAAATACAAAGGCCAACCGAGCCTCAAGCTCCTCAATTCTTCTTGCTTGAACTAGGCCTTTTTCCTTCATTTTCTGAAGTTGGGTTTCGGACGATGATAACTGGGCTCGAGCAGTCTCTTTTTCTGCAGCAAAGCGGTCCATACCTTCTTTCGCGTTCTTGGTTTCGAGTTGGTATATGGATGGGCACCGCAAAGACTCCATTCTTATCACGCCGACCTCCTCACGAAGCTTCCCGATCATCTCGATTTTTTGCTGCAGCTGTGAGACCGAAATGTTAGCTATCGTTCCGGTATCAAGCCCATAGGCTTTCAAAAGCATCATTACCTGCTTAGACAAATCGGTCTGATCTTGATAAGCCTTGGCCAGCTCATCTCGGAGGTCTTTTATTTCCTCTTCTCTCTGCCCTAAGGAAAGTCTAAAGGAGTTCCTCTCGTCAATAGCCCGTTGTAGGTCGGCCTCGTATCGATGCAGCTCATTTTGGGATCGAGAACATTGTTCTCAATAAACTGCCGCTACCTACAAAGAAACAAGAAGCGAAGTTAACGAAAAATGAACATAAAGATAGTACCGACAAAATAATTTTAAAAGCTCACCTGATTCAAAGCCTG